CTCCTGAAGGACTGCACCCCGTGGAAGGGACCCACGCTGGAGCAGTTCATGAAGAACTGCAGCCTGTGGGAAGGACCCACGTTGGAGAAGTTCATGGAGGCTGGTCTCCCGGTGGTGGGACCCCACGCTGGAGCAGGGGAAGAGTGTGAGGAGTCCTCCCCTGCAAAGGAAGGAGCAGCAGAGACAATGCGGGATGAACTGACCGTAACCCCCATTCCCTGTCCCCCTGCACCGCTCAGGGGGAGGAGGTAGAGAAAAATCAGGAGTGAAGTTGAGCCCAGGAAGAAGGGAGGGGTGGGGGGAAGGTGTTTCAAGATTTGGTTTTATTTCTCATTACCCTACTCAATTTTGATTAGCAATAAATTAAACTGATTTTCCCCAAGTTGAGTCTGTGTTGCCCGTGATGGTAACTGCTGAGTGATCTCTCTGTCCTTATCTTGACCCAGGAGTTTTTTAATTATATTTTTCTATCCCCTGTCCAGTTGAGAAGGGGAGTGATAGAGCAGCTTTGGTGGGCACTTGGCATCCAGCCAGGGTCAACCCACCACACCTTCCCAGGTGCTGCTCGCAGGTGTTCAGCGTGGCCCTGAGAAGCAGCCCCATTAGTCATGAGTATGTGGCCGAGGTGAAACTCTCACTAAACCTCCAAGGAACGACCATCTGAGGCACTTGGTATTAACGCGTTTTATTTTCCCAGCGGCCACCCTTGTCAGCGCTCAGTCTTCATGCCGGTAGCCAGGGTACTTAGTCAAGGAGATGAGATGCGGAGCTGGTGGGGTTTAGGACATTTGGGCTGTCATCTGGCATCAGATTTATTCAACTCCCTTCATAAACTCCAGGAACTCTGCCAAGGGGAAGACATAGGAGACAAGGGGTGTGAGGTGGTACCGAAGTGCTCTCACAGCTGCCAAGTGCACTCCCAGCCCTGTCCCCTTTTCCATCCCCCTGATGCATGAGACACCGAGGAGGATGGCTTACCACTCCTCTGGCTGTGGCAAGGACTCCTCGTGACTCCCACTGGAAATGTCACCAGAGCCCAGCGTCATTCTTGGCTGCCTCCGAAATGCTGGAGGCGAGCACCCAAGGAGGGGGACAGCCACCAACTCAGCTCGGAAATGGTCTGGGGGTTATTTTGGCAGCATTGTGTTCAAAAGACACAGCCCTTTAGAGCTGCTGCTTGTGTTGAGGGGGCAGGAGGGAATGGGCAGGTCTCTGGTGAAAAGCAGGTTCACTTCAGTGCAGGCTGGCTTTCATAGCATGGGGAGAGTTAAGGCAGCCCCAGGCCCTTGCTACCATTTCACAAGCATAAGAAATCCCCCATCCCTGTGCAAGCACCATCTGTGATCAGGTGTATGGCCAAGCACTACCCACATGAGCTCACACCTGTCCCTGAAGGCAACTGAGACTGCGGGAGCTGGTCAGGGGATGGTCAAGGGCTCGCAACCAAACCATGCAAGAAAGAGTCCTACCGTCATAGTCAATCCTGCCATCATTGTTTTTATCCCCATCTTTCATCAGTTCTTCTATATCATCCTCAGTGATGGTCTCTCCTGTCGCCTGCAGCATGATCTTCAGCTCCTCAAGGTCAATGTAGCCATCGGCATTTCTGTGCAAGGATGGAAGATCTCAGAAGTGGACCAGCATGCTGGGGAGGGGGAGGTGCTGTGGCTGCACCACTCCCACCACCCCACTGTGCTGCACTCGCTGCCCTTACTTATCAAACATCCTGAAGAGATCTGAGAGTTCCTCTTCGGTTTTTCCTTTGCTGTCATCTTTCATACACCGGACCATCATAACAAGGAACTCATCAAAGTCTACAGTGCCGCTGCCTGCAGGCAGAATAAACACCATCAGACGGCACAGTGGTGGGTGGACAGGCAACACCGAGCAAGAGATCAAACTTCCCTTTAGTAACCAAGGAGCAAAACTCAGGAGAGCAGCCCTGCAGTAAGAGGCAGCTTTCAGGATGCTGGCATAAATGACTGTGGCCATGGACTGATTTCATCACCGAATTTTTACTTTTTGCAGTCATTTTGCCAAGGCAAAATGAACCAGAAGTCCTAATGGAAGCACCAATAAATGGAAAATTCCTGCTATGGAGATACCTGTCCATTTCATCTAGGTATTAATAATAAAAGCTCCAGAAGGTAGGTATTCATGCAGTGTGTTTTTGCAGCAGGAGTACAGTACTATTGTTTTCAATGACACAGCTATCTTCCTTTTTTGCCTGATTTTTAACTGTTTTTTTATTTTCCAGTTACTTAGTATGGAATTTCTGCCCAACTTGCACACAGTGGATTTTGTTATGTGTGATCACTGGTACACTGGTTTAATCAATATTGATAGTTATTTGTGTGTATGTGTGTACACTTGAGCAGTGAAAGACTTTCCTGATGATAGATTCCTGTAATTGTGGCATTTCTGAAATGGCAGTTGCTACATTCAGCCTGTATTTTGTTTTTTAAATGGATCTGTGCAATTTCAGAGTAGCCCTCAAAAATCAGTTCAAGTAGTCTGATCATTATAGGAATAACAATTTTTATAGTTTCTCTTTGCCTGGAAATTTTCTAAAGGAACCATGCTGAAGTTTGGTGGGTGTTTAGTGTCCTTCAAAATCACAGTGCTGCAGATTGCTCCCTGCAGGCTGTGGCTGTCCCCAGCACGGATCCTGCCAGCGCTGTGCAGATGCTGAGCACTCCCAACCTCCACCATGCCCCCCTATGCCACAGGCATGGGGGTGGTGCTTGGAAGAGTGGAATAAATCCAAATCTCTCACCATCCTCATCCACCTCATCTATCATCTCCTGCAGCTCCTCAGGGGTGGGGTTCTGCCCCAGCATCCGCATCACCTTCCCCAGCTCCTTGGTGCTGATGCAGCCATCCTCCGCCCCCAGCACGAAGATGTCAAAGGCAGCCTTGAACTCTGGGGAGAGAGGGGAGAGGAGATGTGGGGGTCTTGCCCTGCACCTCGACCCCGCAGGTGAGCAGCCCCGGGGCAGGGGCTTGCCCCAGCACAGCCTCCCCTGCCCATGCACCCCAGCACTGCCCCGGCACGTCACGGTGCGGACAACTGGGCACATGCACAGAAACTGCCTCACTTGAAATGCTGATGGATCAAAATCCCTGGGTTATGCCCTGCTTTGGCCAGCTGCTAGAAAGACCGCATTTTCTGGGTTGTAATTGCTGAGGCAGGCTGGGCTGCCAGCTGGGGAGTTAGTCTTTAGGCTGCAGTGTCAGGTTAAAGATGCACCTACCATTTTTTTGCTCTTCTGTCAGCTGCTCAACCTGTAAGGAAAACACAGAGACCAAGTCATTTTTCTTCCTCAGCATCACTAATGGTTAAAAGGTAATGTTATTTGTTCAACAGCCTTTGCAAAGGTCAACCAAGCCTTACAACAGTCACTCTCATGGACTATGGGATATATGACCACTGGGGTTTTGACACCACAGCTTTCTGTAGTCTAAGAGATTCTTCCCCTTAAAAAAAAAAATATTCCCAACTCCTTTGAAGTGAGCATCATTTCTCTAGAGTGGCAGTGTCTATCAGAATTAGCCTTTGCACAAGCAGGGAAGACCCACTGGGAAAAGCATTTGTTTCTGTCAACCATTTGGGAATAATTTCTTGTTGTTGGGATGCTTCACAGTAGGACAGCTGTGCCACAGAGGGCTGCTCATGCATGGGCTGAGGCCAGGTCAGAGGTGGGACATGCTGGCGAGGTCCCTGGGGTGGGAGAGGTGGACAAGACCATCCCTAGTAGATGTTTTTCTGCCCTAGAGTCAGGAAACTCTCTGCACTATCCGAACATTAAGAGCTGGTCTACTTCCATCCGAGTCAGTGTTTATTACAAAGGCTTCTGCCTCGGAAGGGAGCCGCTATTCCCTTTAGCCTGTTTTTGGTATGTCCCCGAAGAAATAGCCTGTGGAGCCACTGAGTGTTAGCCAAAATGGGCTGGCAGATTGTTCCCAAACCCTACTCTAATTCATGCCTTGCAGATGATCAGTGGGACCATATTAGTTAGTGTGAATTAACAAAAATAATCAACGAGGAGAGCAAAGAGGAATCCTTCCGTTCTGTGTCATGCCTCTTTAAGTCCATTTCACTCTTTGGCTTCATTCCTGCCTGCAGGTACCGCTTACCTAAAATTGCAGACCCCACCACCGTGTCCATCTGCCCCTTCAGCAGCATCCATTAAAATGCTGACCTTTCCCTCCCAGGCTGGTCAACAGCCTCTCCGGAGTCAGCCAGACATGACCCCTGCCAGGACTACCTCTGGCCTGTGCAGAGGGTGCCTGACCCCACTAATGTCTCCTTACTACCATCTCCATGCCCCATGTGAGCAGTCCCCAATGCCCATCCCTGATGTGTTTTGGTCAGGGCAGAACCCCTCAACTCAGGGTTGTGGCACACTGTCTTTGAGGGAAAGCTGATGCTTTTGCCCCCAAGAGTAGCAGTTTTGCAAAAGCCAGCTGGAAACCCTTCCTGCTTGCAGCAAGAGGCAGGGATAGTGCATTTTTTTAGCGGGACAGAGCCTGCAGGAAGTGGGCAGAGAGCCTTACCCCACTCCCCACATGCTAGGAGGTGAAGTCAGAAAGCATCCCTAAGGATGGCAGCAGGATTGCCATTGCAGGAGGAAACCCAAGTCCACTGTGGCCCCAGTGCCACTGAAGGCAGGCAGGCAGCCGCTGGCCCTTCATGGCCATTGTTTGGGCAGAGCAAGGGCAGCCACAGCGCTCCCTCCGCCAATGTCCACGGCCGCTGTCCTGCTGCTCAGGTAACCTGACCCTCTTGGTGCATTCACTATTTATAAGCATGGGCAAGAGAGGTGCTGGAGATAAAGATGAGCTCCCTGATTGTTCCCAGGCTTTGGTATTTATCCTTGCAGCCTTTTATCTGGACACTTGTCCCTGGTACTGTTCTTAGCACCGCTTAACAGAGCCTAAAAATGTTCCCAAAATAGCTTTGTGTTTGCACACCCTTATCTAGGCATGAGTGGGCAAGATGAAAATCCATTGGGTTCTCTAGCTGCATGTAGGGAATTTGGCATAAATATAATATTAATATATGCCACCAGCATGCAGCAAATAAAAAAATACTCACTGTTGAAGTTTCCTCGACTACTGAAGTGATAGATGTGGAGCTATGCTGTATGTAAATTAAATGCATTGTAACTGTAGAGCGACATTTTTATTACAGAGATGTGTCTTGAGCTGTTTATAGTGCCCTCTGGACACGGGTGCTGTTCACAGCTTTCTTCCTTTTTCCCCTCTGCATCACTGCAGGGACAGGTTTCTCCGGCTGTGGTGCGGGAAGGCAAGCACTAAGCTCACAGCACTGCAGCGGCTGTGGTAACACCAAATCTGCTGTATTTTGCTTTCATCAGCTCTCTTCTTCATCCTGTGTTTCCATTTGAAGTCAGACAGGGGAAGTTGAAGTTCTTGATGTGGTTTTTTTTTTTTCCAGGTAAATGTTTTCTTACAGTTAAAATCTTGGGAAATAGATCCACGAAAAAGCTGTTTGTCTCAGCTGTGCCTGTCTTGGACTTGTTTTGCCTCTGTAAGGGTGCTGGCAGTTCATGCCCAGGACTCAAGCCCCACATTTACCAGTATGCCCCCACCTTCAAACCAGCAGCAAAATCCTCATGGGATTCCATTGGGTCTTTTGCATGTCCCATTTCCCTGGTCAAGGGCTCTCTGTTTGGGGTAAGATTTTGGTATCTGAGGTAGGAATTTGGGGGTTGTTCTCTATTGCCGCATTTCCTTCTCTCAGCTTTCAACTCCGCTAAAGCCTGCAAGCTTTGGCTAGGGATGACCTTCACCTGTGAATTTTTTCCCATTTCTGGGGCAGAGATTCGGAGAGAGGCTGGAGCTTGCAGGTGGGGAACCCTTTCTTTTCAGGACTCTCCAACCATGCTGTGAGCACGCTGCCCCAGCTGACGGACAGAACCTTTTGGCTGTGGGCATCGCCAGCACTGCAAAGCACTTCAGCCTTTCTCCCTAATTAAGGGCACGAGGTCCCTAAAACAATAAGGAGAGGACCTGTGCTTTGAGTCGCAGAGAAGGTATTTAATTAAAAAGCTTAATTAGAGAGGCCTGAATTTTCTTCGATTTTAGAGGTCACATTTTTCTCCCCTTTTGAGGATGGAGGACTCAGTGCTTTATTGTACAGCATTTCCTGAGTCTTTTCACTCTATTGGGATCGCTACAAGGGTTCCATTAAGGACAGGAGAGGTGTGAGCATTTTGTTTTTTTCTTCAATTACATATCAAGCACTATCTTTCTTCCTTCTAAAAACTTTGGAATTAAAATAGGACTTGTATGATGTATTTTTTGTACCCTTGGTTAAAATCAATTCGGATCAACTATATATTTAAAAAAAAAAATCACCAAAAAGCTCTTATTTTAACTCCAGTTATGGAAGGGACACAGTAGCAATCCACACAATCCAGAATCTATTTTCATCCTTATTCCACTTGCGTATCACTGTCTGTCTATGTTACAAAATAATGCAGTGTCCTTATGACAGACCAAATAGTTTGAGTTTACACAGTGAGCACAGCGTGCAGCTGTGTAAGTTAAAATAGCCATTAGGATGCTCTGCGTTCCCGGAGAGCATAGCTCACATTCTGGATTTCTGCAACACAGATATCAGGAGTGGCAAAGTAGAGGAGGATGTTTGGAAATAACTTACAAAAGCGGAGGGTTTTTTTAAATCTACCAGAAAAATATTCAGCTAAGGAAGGGGAAAACATAGCAATGGCAGGTTTATAAAGCACCAGAAAGAAGAGGGTGAGGTTTAACCCATACAAATAATGTTCATTTCGTAAGAAATGCAGCTCTGCTTTGTCTAGCCTAAAACCAGCAGCCATTTCATATACTTTCAAGATTTTGTTGAGATTTATAACTTCACCATCCCTCTGTCTCACAGCAGGGATCCAGGGGAGTAACTGTACACGGTCCAGCAGCCCAGTCGAGAGTTTCATGCTTACAAGAGGAGTGTGAAACCTTCAGAGCCATCAGTGGGAAAGGTCTGCATCCTGGATGAAGATGTTGACTAAAAGATGCCACCCTATAATTATTCCTTATTTGCATTTCTCCATTGAATTAATTCTGTCACAGCTATAGGGAATCTGCTATAAAATCCCCGAAAACCCTTTAAAACCCCCTCAAACACCAGCCCCAAAGGAAGGCACTTACCGCTGCCTTATAAATGTCATCCATGGCTGGAGAGGGTGGGCGAGGGGCCGGGGGACGTCACGGTCACGCTCTGCCAGCGCTG